TGCCCGGTTCGTGCCACCCTCCCGGCCGGCCGGCCTGCCTGCCGCGGCCACCTGTTCCTCTGCCGCACGATGAATGCCCTCTGCCTAACCCGTGGTCCTGAGACCCTCCCTGCCTCCCTTTGAAGCCGGGCACGACCGGACTGACCCAGGAGCCCAGGACCATGCCAGGCACCGCCGGCTACCTGCTAGTCGCTGCCTCCTTCGCCTGCTTCTCCTGCGCCCAAGTAAGTCAGCGGGGAAGCGGCGGTGGGTGGGCTTGTGTGTGTTTCCGGAAAGCGGTGCCATCCAGGGCGCGGGACATCTGCGAGTCAAAAACCGCGTCCTGCCCGATTGGGGGCCAGACCCCGCGAGAGGATGCCGGAGAGGCGGCACCTCCCCCCGGGCCACGGATTCCTGCCTCGCCGGCTATGGCAGAACAGGCCGGGAGGGTGGGGGGGGGAAGAGATAGAAGGAGGGATACCCGGGAGAGAGGCATCGTGACGCCCCTCGAACTAGCTGGAGCTTAACGCCCGGCCTCCGAAGGAGCCAAAGCGAGGGCCTTTTCTCCCTGAGAGGGAAGGATCCAGTTACCCGCCCCCCCCCCAGGAGGGCACGTAGAGGGGAGGAAGTCTTCTGGTTCTCAGCCTGGTCGGGAGACACCTGGGGATTTCTTTCTCCGCGCGGTTCCTTTCAAACGTTCGCTTGGGGTCAGCGGGGCAAGGAGCGCAGCTCTGCCGGGGTTCAGGCGGTTGGGCGGAAGGGCAAGGAGCTCCTGAGCTTGGGATCTCCGCTCCTAGAAGTCCCTTTTGCGGACTGCGAGGCCGGCGGGGTCCAGAAATTCCCAAGCTCATTGCCGGAGACACATACGCACACCCCCCCCGCAGACCAGACTGGGAGGCCAAACCGCCTCCGCCGCCTCCTCCTCCTCTGCAGTGAGGGAGAGCAGGTGTCCGCCGGAGCGCCAGGCACCGAGCTGTCGCCGAAAGGCGGTCGGTTTGCCTTGGCGGAAGGCGGCTTCCTGTGAATCGCGGGGCTCAGCAGACCTCTCCTGCCCCAAGGCCGTCAGCTGGGGCTGCAAACAAGCGCTTTCCCTACAGCAAGCACTGGTAGACCGAGGCGAGGGCCCCAGAGGAGGCACAGGCCCCGGGAAGGAAGGCCAATGCCACCTCTCCCCCCCCTCCCAAATCAGCCGCTGCACCTCAACACCGAGAGGAGGGGGGCACGAGTCACGGTCCGCGGAAAAGACGCACCCACAGGATCCCTTCACGGACGCTGGTGATCAAGGCAGGCGGTGTCTGCAGAGATCCCGGGAAGGGGTCCTTTGGGCACCTCTGCCCCGCGCGGAATTGGGGATGGCGCGTTCAAAGTCCCCTGGGCGTCACCTCTGGATCAAACGGGGGAACCGTTCGCCTTCACCTCCAAAGTTTTATTTAGACCATCTTTTCTGCCTTATGAAAAGCTCCCAACCAAGGCTTTTTCTTAAGGGCTGGTAGAGTTTGTCCGCCATCTAGCGGCCGTCGGTAGCATAGCAACTTCTGGGGCGTTCAGATTTTTGAAATAAGTTTATCGTGTTTATCATTTCAAAAGGGGAGCCGTAAGTCAGAATTAACTTGATGGTGTGCGCGAGGCAATCTATCTCAGTTTATTTGTCATAATCATCATCATCATCATTATTATTGCTACTTTAAACTGACTTTATTGCTTTCCATTTGGTGGCAGGAGTACATTCTCCTGGTCATCATCATCATCATCATCATTGCTACTTTAAACCGACTTCATTGCTTTCCATTTGGTGGTAGGAGTACATTCTCCGTTAGCAGGTTTTGGGTTTCCCTGATCAACTCCTGTTTGTTGCTAGTCTGTTTCTGGGCCCAACTCAAAGTTTTAGTCTGGAATTTTTAAAGCCCAAAGCAATCTTTGTTCCAAAGCTGTAAAACATTTTGAGATTATGTCTTCCAGAGTTTTAGAATTCTAGGTATTTAGGGCATAGGGGTTCTTTCGGTAAAAAAAGAACCAACTTTTCCTACTCTGTGGTGTCCTTGAACGTTTGTAGAGACAGCTTCTCCCATTTGAATTTGCTACACACTCTGGATATGAGGACCTGCTTGTCAATCCTTGCTCCATGTTCTGCCCATTAGGGAAATGAAGGAGCCGTTTCTATGGTGGCTTCCCAGCTCTGGAATTCCCATTTCCACTTTAAGTTCAAGCCGACAACTTGGCGATGAAAAGACCTTTTGATCTTGCCCTGCTTTGGTCTGAAATGTTGTTCCCATGAGATCTGGAATGGTTTGCCTATTTTTAAGATTTCTCACTCTTGTGATTGTTGGTTTTATTGATATTATTTAGGGACCATTGCCGTGTATATAAAATATTGCATAGAAATATCCTTCCCTCTGAGTTGCCATTAAAATCCACCATTGTGTACACTTCCCTCTGTTTATTTTGGCTTCTTTCTCCTCTTTTGATCCCCCCGTTTTTGGTTGTTAAACTTAAGGGGATGAGCTGGCTGAGGAAGGGACCTCTCGTCCTCACAGTAACCCTCATAAGCACTTGTTTCACATATTTCAGGTTTAACTTTGGCAGCTGGAAAAACCAGAATGATGTTCAGTATATGTTTTAAAAGCTAATATTGTTACGCAATTTGATCCAAGTTTGAGAGAGCTTTGGAATGTCTGAACCTTTGGTTTGCATTCTGCAACCTCCGCATCTCCTGATGTCCCTTTAAATGACCCTTCCCTTGTTCTCTTCCAGCTGATGTCTCCTTCCGATAGGCCTGCAGGAGGTGAGCATGGACCTTCCCCCATCCAGGCCCCTTGCCGCCCCCCCCCCAGTTGAGTCATGAACCTGGGACCTTCCTGTCAGTAACACATGGCTTCAGATTGCTGAGGCGTTGCATGAGAGAGGCTGAAAAGCCACGGCTTCTGCTACAGCCAGGATCCTCTGCTGGCCACCCGCGTGGTCAAACTGTGTGGAAAAGGGCTCTTCACCTATCCCAACATCAGGATGGCCACTGGCACAGCACCCTGAGAAAAGGCCGTGCATCACCCGAAACAAAGACCGAAAGGGAGCCCCTCTTCACCTGACAGGGCACACGCTGGTTTCTCTCGACAGATGCAACATTAGAAATGCTGATTTAAACTGAATTTAGGGTGGTGCTCCTGCCATGAGGGATAGTCATAGGAACCACTTCCATGACCCACACAGGTGGGGGTTGCCCACATGCTCTCCACCCTGAATTAATTTAGCATGTAACCCATGTGGGGGGGGGGGAGAGAAAGATTCTCTGTAAAGTTCCACATTGTGCAGGGTGGAAAAGCCAAGGAGCAGAACCAGGAGGCAGAGGACTCTGAAAGGGGGACAGTGGCATGAACTTGCAGCTATGGGGTGTCTCTGAGCAGTCCAAAGGTCCCGGATAGGAAGAGGTGGTCCAAAGACAGGGGGAATGGCATGCTTGGCTGCCCCTGATCTCCTTCTCTTCTGCCCCACAGTGGTGCCCTTTGAGGAAGTCTGGAGCCGGAGCTACTGCCGCTCCCGGGAGACCCTGGTGGACATCTTGCATGAGTACCCCCATGAATCTGAGCACATTTTCAAGCCACCGTGTGTTCCCCTCTGGCGCTGCGCAGGCTGCTGCGGGGATGAAAGCCTGGAATGTATGGCTGTGGAGATGCGCATGGTTGAGCTGCAGGTCTGTGCCCCCAGCCGGGGAGGTGGGGGGGCACTTTGGACACACACACAGAGTCTTCTGTCCCCGAGTGGGACCCCCAGGGGTTGGACTGCTGTATCTCCCCATCATGGTGGCCCTGAGCCTCATCCCATTAATTACAGCCATGCTCACTCCGTGCACCACCCATCTGAGATCTAAGGTCGGTTTGCTTTGGAATGAGAAGCAGAGGCGCATGTGTGCGCGCAGCCCCACCAGAGTGTGCTTTCTGGCTTCTTCTTTCCCTCGTGAGTGCAAGAGAGGGAAAGTGGTGGTCTGAGACCAGTTCCAAGCCAATGGGGCTCTTCAATGTCCTTGAGGCTTCTCGGGCAGGATGGGACCCACTGGCAGCTCTGCCCCAGGCCTCGGCCTCTGCCCGTGTGCTGCAGCAGGAACCCCCCCCCACACCTAGGAAGGTGTTGCACGTGCGGGCTGGCAGGCACCGCTGGTGAAGGGGTGTGTGTGTGTGTGTCTCCTTCCCCCAGGTGCTGCGAGTGAGCCCCATCCTGGGCACGACTCGGCAGGAAGTGATGAAGTTTACGGAACACACACGGTGTGTCTGTAGGTGAGCAAGGGAAGGGCTTGGGAACAGACAACCACAGCCTCACAGCCTCGCAGCGAGGAGGTGTTTGGGGAGATCCGCTGGTGGATGCCAGCATGGCAGGGAGTGGGGACCTGGAGCCACAAGTCCCCGGGAACCCCACAAGTGATCATCCTTACTGGAGTTCGGCCCCGCAACACATGTTGGTGTAAATCCAACATGCCTCTGGGCATGTGCAGAGTGTCCTCCCCTCACACAAAAGCAGGACCTTTAGGCCAGTGGGTACCCATTCTCTCCCTTTCCAGTTACAGGATGGGGAGGTTACCTAGGAAAGGGAGGCCCTGCATTTTGCCAAGGTGACCCCAGGACATGCCGGGGCTGTTGTCTGTTTCGGCTGCAGGGACGGCTCCGTCCAGATCCGAGGGTCACTTCTGTCTTTCCTTCCAACCCATCACCCCACCCCCTCCTCACCTTTTGCCCTGTATAAATGTCTTTTTTCCCTCATTCCCAGGCCTCGGCGAAAACGCTTGAAAAGTGAGAGGTATGTTGAGGACTCAGAGTGGATTTTTTTGGGGGGGGGGAATGAGGCTCAGGGCTGCCCCTTTTTAGTACCATGCAAGCAGAGTTCCAATGTCCAGAAATGTGTTTTGGGAAAATATATGCGCTTCCCTGGCCTCTCCCAGGAAATACTAGGGATGCCTCCTTAAAAGCATTTTTAAAATGACTTTTTCGGGGGGGGGGACTACATTTCCCATTATTCTCCACCTGACAGAGTGGGCTAACAGATTCTGAGAATGACAGCCCCACGTGACTGCTTCTTCTTTCTCTGCTTTCAGGAGCCACCGGATCGGGGCCAAGAGGAGGCCCCGGGAGCCGAGCCCTCTGCTTTCCACCATGCTGTATGTATATGCTCGGACTTTTATTCTTTGCATGGCAGTTGAGAATGATCTCATTTGAAGTGCATGGAGGATCTCGCAGAGCAGTGAGAAGCTTTCCAGCTTGGTTTCTTCATCAGCAAGGAGGTCATGTGGCCCCTCCAGGTGCCCCTGGACTGCAGTTCCCATCATCCTTTGCCAGCATAGCTCATGGTGAGGAATCCTGGGAGCAGCAGTCCAAGGACATTCTCATTCATGATTACACAGCCAGAAGGCACTCCTTTTTACTAAAAGGATCCGAAGGGATAAGGAGGGTCTGCTCTCAGGCAGGTGCTGCTGACCGTGATGAGTCCAGCACACTTCCCCCGCATGAGGTGCAGCAACAGTTTCTGGTCCAATTAAAAGGAAAATCCATATTGTCTGCTCTGGCCCTTCAGGATTGCAGGCAGGTTTCTGTCCTAGCCCTCTCTGTCACAGGTCGCACCCCATCCCAGATGCACTAGCCAAGCCCAATCTTATTTAGCTTCTGAAACAGAGCAGGACGGCAATAAGAGTAGTAGAGGAAGCCCGGTGAACTGGACTCTCTCTGCTCAACCTGCTACCCTAAGCAAGGCTTCCCTGCCGCGGGCCTCCATCCAGACCTTTCTAATCCTCTTGTGCACCATTTCTCCCACAGCAGCTGCCAACTTCCTGGTGGGGACAGAGATGATGCTGAGGACAGTGACCAAGAGGAGGCGTTGAGCCCGGCCGAAACCAAGATGAAGCTTCTGTCCAGAAGGCCGCTTTTCCCTTGAGGAGGCCTGGGCACAGCCGCCCGTGCCCTCTGCCTGGGACTGCCTGGGAAGCTAGCCTTGGAGACCTGCTGGAAAAAGGCTCACCCACCCAGCCCGGGCTGATGATGATGATTCTGAGAGGGCTGCTCTTTTCTTGGCGCTGATGGGACTGGGGCCCCACACCACCCATAGAGAGGTGTTAGAGGGAGTCTGCAGGCCGGTGGTTTCCTCTCATCGGCTAAAGGCTATTTACTTGCTGGGCAGTTCCCAAATATTCTATGACATATATTGGAACTCGTTCTCCTGATGACCCAGGGAGGGGCTCAATTTATGCACTAAAGCCATTCTTTTACAAAGCATTCCTGTCCCCCCCCCCACTGCCATCTCCTTGCCCTTTATTTATGACGCCTCAGTCTTAATACACACTCACACCTATGAATGTATCCATGAGTGTGAAGATCTTTCTTCATAGTAAGAGTGATAAACAGATGTTAGCATGATCGTACCTGTAGTCTCCACACATGTTATGTTTTAAATAACCTTATTTGTATCTCGCACTATCCGGGAACTGTTGACAATGCAAGTACATTACAATTACTTGAAGAGAATCCACCTTGCTCACATTTTAATTTGTGCGTTTGTACAGTGGGGTCTCTACTTAAGAACTTAATCCGTATTGGAAGGTGGTTCTCAAGTTGAAAAGTTCTTATGTTGAATCTGCATTTCCCATAGGAATGCATTGAAAACCATTTAATCCGTATCTGCTCTTTTCCGTCCATAGAAACTACAGTGGAACCTCTACTTAAGAACTTAATCCATTTTGGAATGGTGTTCTTAAGTTGAAGCAAAATTTCCCATAGGAATGTACTGAAAACCAATTAATCCGTTCTGGCTGTTTTTTTGTTATGTAGAGGTGCGTTCGTACATTGAAGCATTAGTTCCCATAGGAACTAATGCAAAGCTGGTTAATACGCACTCTACCACTAGGGGGAGAATTTTTTTTTAACCTAAGATGACCTAAGGTTAAAAAAAAGAGCAGGAAAGTTTTTTTTTCCTGTTCTTATCTTGGATTTCTGTTCTCAAGTAGAAGCAAAATTTAGCAAATGGAGCTGTTCTTAAGTTGGATTGTTCTTAAGTAGGGACTCACATTTTAATTTGTGCGTTTGTACAGGAAACCATTCACACACCTTCCACTTCCTCACTGAAACACTGTAGTATATTTTGTCTCCCAGTGCTAAGTAATAATCTGTCTTCTAAATGCCTTAGAATTAAGCGAACAACAGCGAAGTGCAACTGAAGTCCGTGGTATGGTTGTTTTCCCTTTTAATCATCAGTGGGTGGAGCTGTTCATTTCCTAAACTGTTTTAAGCTGGAGGTAGATGAATTTTAGACTTGCAAGATCAACTTAGGATCCTGCCACCTCCTCCCACAATACTCAGTGTTATTTTTCAGAACTCAGTTTAAGATGCTGAAAAAACCCAAACTCTTTTAGTTGCTTTTCCAATTAGCCAATTTGCAGTGAAAAATCTTCTCTGCCAACCAAACCTAAAGATCCAGATCCATCCTATTCCTATCCTTGGTATAAAAATACTCTGATGAAACGGACAACATTTCTACTGTGGGCGTCCTACGATGCTGAAGGGAAAATCTAGGTGTGGCCCATCTGGAATGTCCTTTATGCCAAGCTTCTGCTGGCAGAGAGGGAACAGCTCAAAGAAAAGGGATAAGAACCTTTGTTTAGAAGCAACACATAATAGTATTGGAAAAGCATTCTGCTTTCTTGGAGCGTAATGAAAGTTGACCCATCCCAGTCAAACAGGCTAAATTGACCCAAACAACTGAACGGGTTTAGCTTCCAAGTAAAACCTTTAATAAAACAATTAAAGATCCTGTCAAACTCTTGATCTTTTTATTATTTTATTAATGCTTTTACTTGGAAGCTAAACCCTTCCAGACGTTTGGGTCCATTCGGTCTGTTTGACTGGGACGGGTCAACTTAGAGCTAATAGTATTATTTTTTGAACCAGGATTCCTGGGATCCTCCCACATGATCTCCACTTGCTTCCATGTTCATTCCAGAGGATCAGGCTTCTTTGCTCTTCCACAAGCCAGACCATGTCCAGAGGAAGGCAATGGGAGAGAGGAGGAAGGGTCTGGAAAGCAAACCCCAGGAGAGAAACAGTGCAGGATGCTGTGTGTGTGTGTGTGTAAGCCACAGAAGAGAAGGCTGAGAAGGGACAGGAGAGCCATCATCACCATCAGGGAAGTTTTCACCACCTCCCATGAAAGGTGGAGGAGACTTTATTATCTTTTACTGCTCCAAAAGGAAGAACCTGAAACCCACGGATTCAAGTTAAATGAAGGACGATTGCGACTAAATACTGTATTAGGAAGAACTTCATTCCAGGAAGGAAGTCCATTGAATTGGGGTCCCCATGAAAGGCAGTGGATTCTCTTTTGCTGTAGAGACCTTGAGTGGCTCTCTTTATGCTTTAGCTGCGGATTTCTTCGCTCAGCAGTAGGTTCGACTCGGTCGAATCCTCTCAGCGATAGGAGTTTATGGTGCTGTTGACAAGTTGTTTAAACATGATCCTCCTGGGTCTAGGGGGAAGCGAGAGGAGGGGCTGGTTCACATCCGTTGTGTTTGCGGTTTCCGACACCCGGGCTTTCGACGGCACTCTCGGGCGAGACAGAAGATCCAAAGGTGTGTCCTTCGCCCCCTCCCTCTCCGAAGCCCGGGGAGTTTACGAGAGTCACCGGGGCGTGATTCACTTCCAGCGAAGTCCGGCCAAAGGAATCCTCCCCTCGCAAACCTGCAAAGGCACCCTCGCCCCCCCCTTTTTTTCTTCTTCACGCCTTGCATTCTTGCCGCGGAGGTGCTGACGGCGCCGGAGGTTTTAAAAGCAAAGGGGAAAAGGTCTGTCCTTAATCACGGAGACGATCGGATGAGCCGGGGCGAAGGGCTTCGCAAAGTCCCGACCCCAAGCCCGGCGCCTTAAAAGGGCAAGAAATCATTTTGGACATAAAATAAAAGGGGATTAGATCCGGCGAGGTTGCAGCCGGTGGAAAGGACTCACGTGGCGCGACTTAAGCGCTTCAAAGTGGGGCTTTACTTGGGGGGGGCGGAAAGAAAACCTCCCCAGAGACTTTCGGGGCTCGGGAGCTTTGCTCTGGGGTCCCACTCGCCCCACCGCCGCCGCCGCACCGTGATCTGCCCATTCCTTGGTGCTTCAGGTTTCTTCTTAAGCCTTCAGGGCAGAAACCAGGCGCGGCGGCCCTAAAATGGCCGGGTGGGCAGCAGGAGGGCGAGCCGAGTGTGGGGAGCGCGAAGGGAAGCTTCAAAGGCCCCGCGTTTAGGCGGAGGAAGCCGGGCCCGCCGCCGGGGTGATGGAGGAGAGGGCGCCTTCCCCGGCAGGGCTGGCCTCGGGGTTGGGGCACTCTGCACGCGGGCAGAAACCCTCTCTGGCTTCTGCGTCCCCTTTCCCTGGAGGCGGCGCCAGGGCCTTTCGCTCCTGGGAGCGAGGATGAGGGGCCGGCGATGCCAGAGAAGGGCTGGGGGGAACCTTTGCTCTTTAAGGGGAAGGGGCGGAGGCGAGGGGGGCGCGCGCCGGGGACGGACGGAGCCCCGGCCTGGAAGGAGGCGCGGCCGAACCAGGGAGGGGGAGAGAGGCTCGCATTCCAAAGCCATGGGTCACTCGGCACGGCGCAGAGGCTGCTGGGACCTGTAGTATTTCCCACCTCCCACCGCGGGAGGGGTTCCAGGTGGATACTCTTGGGTGCCCCTCTCCGGCTAGATTGTGTGTGTGCGCGCCCGCGCCCCGGGGGGGGGAGATTATGCCCTGTCCCTCTCGCTCTTCTAGCGGGTGCGAGGGTTTGCCAGCTCGAGGGAGGGCGTCGGGCCCCTGAGCATGAACCGAGGGCTTTGGTGACCCCCCTGGGGGGCTCCGACCCCGGTGCGCCCGCCCGATCCAGAAAGACGGGGCAACAGTCCCGAGGGTTCGGGGAAGGACGCTGCTGCCCGCCCGGTGACGGCGGGGACGATCCGGCCGGCTCGTGTCCAGCGGCCTCCATCGGGTTCTCCTCTGGGAGTCGGACGTGCAAGGACTACCGTTCCCAGAATGCCGCCGGCGCGATCCTACCTACCTGTGGAATTGCACAAAAAGGGGAGGGAGGGCGAGAGGGAGGCAGGCAGGCAGGGAGGGGAAAAACCTGTTCCCAGGCAGGCAGAGGCGTGAGTCTCTCGGGCTGCGGCGGCTGGGAAGGGAAGCCCATGAAGAGCCCCGACGGCGCCCGGAGCCCCTCGGGAGACGCGGCGCCCAGGAGGAGCCGCTGAGCCTCGTCCCGACCAG